CTTTCACGCATTGCAATATCAACGTGATCATTTGTCACTCATGATGTATAGCCATGATTAAAAAACTAAAGTTGTTCATTAAAGATTTCAAAATATTCATTTTGTCTGACGTGAATCTGAGGTGTTAAGTGATAATGTATATAAATCAAGAAGGAAAAAGGAAAGCATACAAACAAAAATGTGTATTTGATAGAAACGTCATTCACTTTTAGATGCTAAACAATAATTCTGATGTATTATTTTATTAAGGAAAGTTTTATATAACACCACATTGCGGTTTTCTGATATTTTTAAATAACACTTGCAAAACTCATTTCAAAATTTTAGAAAATGATCGGAAACATGTATATATATTTAAATATTTGAGGGGTAAATAATAATAAAGTTGATTTTAGATGCTAAATGCTGATCTTATTTACGACGAAACACTTAAAATTGAGATTTAACTGCACTTACATTAAATATGTGTTATTTATCATTTTTAAACCATATTCACATTATTATATAATGTTCAATTGTTGACAACATTGTTTTTACCTTGATTTGAATAATGCATTGCTTTAATTTGAAGTACAATCTCATCTGTTTACATTAATTGTTAAGATAGATTACTAGTATCTCTTATTAAAAGTACTTTTTAGACTTCTTCCTGTCAGATGAAAAAAAAACAAGGACGTATCTTATGCAAAAGGGCTCAAACGCGATTATCAAACCTTGGTTACAAAGCAAATCACTTAATGGCCATTGCGTCCTTATATCGCTTGTTTAGACAGGGATAGTCCTTGTAAAAATAATTTGTCGCTTTCTGTTTTAGATATTTACATCAATAACGTTTACGACAATATGCAAATATATATTTTGACATGATTTAAACATAACGAAATACTATCCCTTGGAGTTTTAAGCACTTTATTGACATCATTTCTAAGCCATCTTAAAGATAATTGCTCTGCTTTTGATAAAACACTGCCACGGAGCATGCGATCTTGCGTGATAAACTTGTAATACTTTACTACAGTTACGTTCTTTTTTATTATTTTTTGGTTTACAATACTCATGCAAGAAATGTCTATGTTTTTCTGGCATTATTTAATTTGTTTTTTCTTATCCCATATTGACAGTTGCTAAAGTTGCAGTAACTGGCTAAAGTCTCGTATGTTACAGAACAAATGACTTAATCATGCTAGTATTATTTTCTAAATAGAGAAAAATACAATATGCCCATCCATGAAATATCAATCTCTTGCAAAAAAAAATCACTTGAAATTATTTATAGGATTTGTTTTGAGTTACAACAAAATACAACATAACACACTAATTATCCATTTAGAATAACCGAACATTGGAGCTGCATACCAAAAGTGAGCCAAACTTTTAAGAACATTAACTTTGAGGAATAAAATGTAAAATGATAAACGAAAAGAAAAAAAAAGATACAGTGTCGATTATTTTAAAATTTTCTTGTGCGTGTAGAATGACTGTTATTATCAGACTTTATTAACTCCTATTTAAGGTTTAAAAAAGCATATTAAACTTTTAGCAACATATATTTTAGTATTAAAATTAGAGTATTTATTATAAAAATAACATTACCAGAATAAAATAATAAATTTCTTGATAAAAGCATATATGTTAAGGAAAAATGTACTGTATAATAGTAAATTTGCCAAATTTTAGTAATTGACTTTTAACGTACCAACAGTATAACATGATGATCTAGTGACTGTCTATTTTCTGTAATGTGATACTGTATTTACAGATGGAGCAGCAACTTTGATTTTATTTCAATGTTCTGTTTGAAAATCAATGTCTTGTTCACAGTTCATATTTTAACATAATATATTATAAGGTGACTTAAAGGTCGATTGGTCCGGGTGTCTTTGTATGTATTCTTATCATGTATATGTAATTAGAAATTGATATGTGCACAACGTAACTATTACAAACGATTTACCTACTTGCTTAATACTTTAAACATGTCATAGTTTGCCTATTACTGGATTGCCTAAAGTGAAAACATGTATGCATAAACAGTGGCGTCACTAAAAGCAGTTAACTAAATGCAAAATTACGACGTACCTCAAACTAGTAATAAGTCTTTGTATGTCGGATGCTTAACACTCATTTTCAAACTTTCTTAGTATTTTTCTTACCATCTTATTCAACGGGCATGATTGTATCACCACTGCAATAAGGTTGACGTCAGATAGTGCGATTCTTGCAACACTTGTGAATCTGCTTGTTATGGCTCTTGATCATTATGGTGCCATTATCAAACAATTACGTTACAGAAAGGAGATAACAGCTATCAAAGGAATTTGTACTGTTTTCATTGTTTAGGCTATATCTCGAGGTTTAACGGAAATCTTTGTCGCCACCTGACTAGGCAGTTCAATCTGAATCGTTAGATCAGAGGGGACTTTTATTATTGCATTTGGATCAGTCTGTTTATCTTTAATGTATTTATTGCAATATTTACTCTATGGACAAATTTACAACCCAGCCGTATTAGGAGGGCAATACAACGACGGGAGAGGGCAATTTATTGTAGGCGTTAATGACAACTGCGCTCTTTGTCGGTACATCTTTACTACTCTGATACCTTTTAGCATTTTGGATAAAAAGAAAACAAAAATTATCAGAAGGTATTCGTATTTTTTGTAATATAATAATGTAAAATGATTTTAATTTTACAGCTATGGCAAGGACAAAAAGAATAAGAAGTAAAAACATAAATAGGATACAGATGAAGACCTGAATCCATAAAAGATTTGTAGTTTTAATGTTCACTGTATCTCAATGGTTTTCAGTCAAAATGTGCAAAATATGTTTTTTCTTAAAAGACAAAACACTATTGAATATACCACCTCGTGATGCATCAAAACGTTTCGTTATAGTTTACAAGATACTTTATAAGGTAACTATTACTGCAAAGAGTCAGACATTACCTGTCTTATTGTCTTGACACAAGTTACTTTATATTCCTAAAGATACATAATGCCTCAGAAATGAATAATTTACTCTTGTTCTGAAAGGGGTCAAGTAATGTTTGATAATATTTTATTCAGTGGATTTAGAGCATGTTAAATGCTGGTCACTGGTTTAACGTACAATTTACTTAACAAAATATTTCATTTTGTATTTTCAGGCATAAACTCTCATATTGTTATTATCAGGTGTTTTAATGAAATTTGCTGAATAGACTGTTGACTGAAAATATTTTTTTTTTTACTTAACTGCTAAAATAATTAAAAGTTTGTTTTTTTCATAATGATTGTGTTTGTGGGAAATCTTAATATTTAATAGCATGGATTGAACTTATTTACAGAAGACCCTCAAGTTGCATACTTATAGTTGTTTTTGGTTTTTGTTTTTGTAATAGCCATTACCTATAAAAATAGTAATAAAAAACATGAGTACAAAATGGTTGTCAAATACTATAATATCCTAATATATTTATCCTAGCAATTACATTCCTATCAATAGCTATAAATGCAAAATAGGAATATTGAAGGTTTTAGAAGTTTTGATGTAGAAGTTAAAAACAGCATGTAACTATATTATTAAACTGTAAATCAATCAACTTTGAAGAAACTATGAACATATTTGAATAATTTTCTTTTATTTCTGATCTTAAAATTAATGTAAACGTGAAATATACAGTTCCCAGAATAGCGAGACAACATGATCTAATCTATTGTAGAAAGAAATATACAAATATAATTTTGACATCCGATTGTGCAAAACACCATGCATAACTTTCCGTTCAAAAAAATACTTAAATAAATTAAACCAATTTAAAGAAGACATAAATAGATGGAGGGCAAGACATTTTACAATAATTGACAATATATCAATCTTTAAGTCCTTAATTATTTTAAAACTGACCTAAATCATATCTGTTCTTCCATTTCCACCAGTGGAAAAATACACAAAACTGTTTTGAATTGATATGGCACTCAAATTGAGAAAAAAGTTAAAAAGGTTGTAATTATACAAGACTTAATTATGAGGGATTAAATATGATAAAAATTCCAATTTTCATTAACTGGATTAAATCAAGCTGGCTCAAAAGAATATTTGATGAAAATAACCATGGATTGTGAAAAGAATCAATAAAGAAAAATTTACAAAACGTAGGTGGAATCAATTTATTTAAAAGTGATTTAAACACAAATGATATAAAGAAATTTAAAATCGAATAAACTTTCTAAAAAGAATCACTACTGTAAAAGAATAAAATATATTTCATAACAAATCACAAAATATATTAGACCAAATAACATGGCAGTATTCAAATATAAAAAATAATTGATCTTCAACTGGTCTTTCCAAAAATGGAAATGTAGAAAAATTAATAAAATAAAAGATATTAATATACTGAAATATTTAACATTTATAAAGGAGGTTTATGGGTAATGGTCAATGGCGGTCAGTTAAAAATCGCTCAGTGAAATTTTTTAGAAATTTTTTAGAATTAACCAAAAAAAACGGACTTATAACGGTGTAAAATCTTGGTAAAAGGATTAAATAGTGTTTGAAGTACGAAACAAGGCCCGAATAATGAGTCAAAAAAAATCACTTCATTCCCAAATAATGGCTACAACAAGATATAGAAAAACGTGCACGACGAAACTCGAGCGCCACGTCGGCAGAATCACCCCACCCATTTGAAGTAAATACATCATTGCCTACAAAGGAGAACTTTGTTTCCCTAGATATAAGTGAGAAAATGAACTGTTTTGTTTTGATCTTATGGTTCAATTTGGGCCAGTGAATTATAAACTTGACTGCATAACAAAAAATTGTATCATACAGTTGCTACAAACGAAGTCAACAATTCAAGGTTACGCCTCCTTGAATATAAAAAACATTGATACGGAGGCCCGTCTTTTAAAAAAGTAACATCTTATTTCATGGTATCCCGAAGGAAATACCGACTGTTGTGACATCTGTTTTGAACTTTATTAATTGATCACCTGCAGTTAGACCCAAGCTCTATGCGAATATCACGTGCATTTCGGATAGGAAAGCCCAAACGACAACAATACCCGGACAAACCTTATATTCGTCCAATACTGGTATCTTTCTCTGAACAATCTAATGCAGACAGCGTCATGGAGAATGCCAAGCTACTAAAGAACACCAAATTTGGTCTATCCCGGGATTACCCGAAAGAAATTCGTGAAGCACGTCAAGAATTATGGCACGATTACAAGGATGCGAGGTCAAAATATGGCCCCCGAAATGTCAAGCTTAAGTATCCTGCTGCCTTGGAAGTAAACGGAGAAACATTACGCAATTTATTCCCTGGATGGCACTCAATTCTACGAGGCTCACGTAACTCTAACGTGGAATCACGTGTCAACGAGACTTACACGAGAGCAGCTGAGAAATCATCTATACTCGCACGTGACGAGACCCTCATCGAGGAAGAAACAGGGGATGACACTGATTCGATTCAAAAGCGATGACATAATACGAACAACGAGCCCAAATCAATACAAAGAATCTGCGAAGTCATCTCCAATAGGTAAAACACACACATCCAAAGGTTATTTGCTAGAAGTAACATGCCCCACTTCAAGTCCTACACTTGTATCGGCGCCTTTTCCTGGTAATCGTAAGACAATTTTACAGACTAGTGTTACCGGGGTCAGTGGTAATACTTCTGTGAACAGTGTAAGGATATCCCATGCTCCTCTAAAACATTGGTATGTAAATCTTAGAAATTGTGATCTTTCTTTAATACATAAATCAAACATAAACATCCAAGAAAGGATCGATGCTAAAAAATATCGTGAGTGACCAAAATAGTACGTTTATAAATCAAACCCCAGTGCATTTCACGGAAACTTGAAAATTGGATCGCTTAATGTGTGCGGCTTAAAAACAAGGCTTAAGTATCCTGAATTCATAAACATGATAGAACAGTATTCATTTTGTGTGTAACTGAGACTAAATTAGATAAAAATGACATAATATCTGTACAAATTATACTTTCTTTTTCCAAACCAAGGACTGAAAGTTGTAAACGAAAATCTGGCGAAATTGGTTTTTTCGTACATGATTCTTTTGTTAAATATATAGATATTCTAGACTCTAAAAATGAGTACATTTATTGGTTAAAAGTTAACACTTATATAGACGGCATAGTGCAAAATATTGCATCATAGGTTCCATGTATGTACCGCCAGAACAATCACGCTTCTTTAATAATGCCGAGTTCTATGATTTCCAAAATGATATTTCTGTTAAATGCAGTAAATACGAAACTGTATTGATAACTGGAGATTCAAATGGACATACTTCTACATTACCAGATTATCTAGAATTTGATGACTTTTTATCATCTTATCTTAATGTTGATGATGCTACTCTAGATTCATTTAATCAAATTAATAAGCTGGAAAAATTAAATATTCCACGTGATCGATTATCGCAGTGTAGTAAAATTAATAATAATGGTAAGAAATTTCTCGAAATTTTGTAAAAATATACAATTTGTTTATTCTAAATGGTGGATTTAGTTGTGATAAGTCAATAGGAAAAAATGTACTTTTAGAGGTAAAACTGTTATTGATTACTCCATTGCTACCTGATAAATTGTATATTGTTGCTAAGTGAATTTGATATAGATCGAGCTTGATTCCCTGTTCTCAGACGGGCATTGTCTAACTGTTCAATGAAATTATCCTTATCCTGATTGCCAGATATTACACCACTGTTTCATCAGGAGAGACCCAGCAGCTAGGAAATCACAAAAGTAAATTGCCAATATAGTGGGTATGAATACGTAAATCTCCAGTGAATTCTTGGAAAATATTGAGTTTACAAGCGGTGCATAGAGTTGTGGATTTATGTTAAGCATACACAAATGTCTGACTCAACTAACTATATTAAACATTACATTCAATACAGGTTGCTGAGAAAATTGTTCCAAATATATTTCTAAACTTCTGCAAAAGTTAACATTTCAACCCTCTAAAACAGGTTTCACCAGTCGGACCTCCTGCTCAACTAATGCTCCAATAATGATCATAAACATGGTTTTGGGCCTCAGTGTCAAACGTGCACGAAATTTATCACGCATAAGTGCTCGTAAATCTACCAGGTAGAACAAAATAGCATGAATAAATCTGGTTACACTGCGTAGTTAAATTACTAAATAAAACACATGGAATACCTGTTGAGAGATGTAACAAAGAATAAAACAAAGGGGTTTTATAATATTTATAAATAAGAAAAAACCCGCCGCCGGTGAAAAAAAAAATGATTGGGCCCCCCCGTGGGGCCGGGCTTTTTGAGCTCTCCATATCAACCGGAAGAGATGTGACGGGTTATCTAACATTGCTCACGAACAACTTGAAAATGGTGAAACGGGGGGGTGGGGGGGCGCCCTGATCATTTCTGCGAATTTTTCAATTTCGTTTAAAGACTATAAACTCTGCAAAAAGATGAAAACGAAACTTTATCAGGCAAGGGCTCTGAAATCCCCGACCCTTTAATATAAAATTGCACTTAATAGAGAAATCTCGGAATGAAGAAATTTGCAAATTTATTTCAAAATTAAAAAAATGGCAAGGCTCAGTCACAATTTGATAGTATATATCAAATGAATATATTAAATACAACAAAATCAATAATGGTTCCAATTTATCGTCAGTTTTTTTAATATGATTTTAGACTCTGGGAGTCATGCCTGACTCGTGGTTAGTAGGAGCTATTAAGCAATTTACAAAAACAAAGGATCCCCTTCCGACCCAGGTAACTATCGACCAATAACTATTTGAGTTGCCTCGGAAATTATTTACCTCGGTTTTTAAATGAAAGAATAAATGAATTTCTGGCGAAAACGACCTTTTGAACGAGAATCAAGCTGGATTTAGAGCTAAATATTCGACCAGTGATCATATTTTTGCACTTCACTTTCTTATCTCTAAAGAAAAAAATATTTTGTTCATTTATTGATTTCTCTGCAGCGTTTGATTCAGTTTGGCGCGCAGGTCTATGGAGGAAACTCTCTGATATTGGCATTACAGGAAAAATTCTTTCTGTCATCCAAAATATGTACTCGAATATATATCTTGTATAAACTCCGAAGGTCAAACATCTGCTTTTTTCTCAAGTTCTATAGGTGTAAGACAAGGCAAGAATTTTATCGCCGGTGCTCTTCTCAAAATCTACCTAAATGACCTAGAGTTAGCCCTTAATAAGGACAATAATGGAGTCACAATTGACGCTACAAACCCAGTTTTTAAAAATATTAATTTTACTATATGCAGACGACACGGGTCGTAATAGGCGAAACTCAGGAATCATTCCAGTCCTGTCTCAATGATTTTCACAATATTGCGAGACTTGGAAATTAAATATAAACTTTCAGGAAAACTAAGGCAGTTGTCTTTGGCACAAATAAACCGAAGTCATATATTTTCAATATAAATGGTCAACTCAATCGAAACAGTAACGGAATAATAAGTATCTAGATGTTATTTTCTCTAGCTCTGGTTCATTTCTTGCGTGTAGGAAACTACCTAGTTTCACAAGCAAACAAAGCCATGAATGTTCTATATAAGAGAATAAACAACCTTGACCTTCCCCTAGACCTACAAATAAAGTTTATTCGACCATACAGTGCTTCCCATTCTTACATATGGAAGTGAAATATGGGGGTTCGAAAATTTAAATATCATAGAACAAGTCCATTCAATTTTTTTACGCAAGATACTAATACCAGAAAAAGTACTCCTAGATATATGTTATATGCTGAACTTGGGCGCTATCTCTATCGAAATAAACATCAAATCTCGTATGATAAATTTTTGGAATAAACTAATTCAGTCTAAAGAATCAAAGATTTCATATAGGTGTTACAAGTATATGATACAGTCTAACCGAAACTTTAAATGGATCAACTATGTTAAAAGTATACTTGACTCTACAGGTAACTCTCTTTTATGGTTAAATCAAAATAATATCCAAGCTAAATGTATTAGCAAATTGGTTAAACAAACATTAATCGACCAATATAAACAAGAATGGTTCTCACAAACTAGAAAACTCGCATAAAGGTAGACTCTATGGTAGTTTTTAAAAACAGTTTTAATCTAGAATATTATTTAAATATTCTCCCCACCCCCTTAGGTTATCTCTTTTGCATTTCCGAACTGCTAACTCATCGTTTTCCAGTAGAAACGGGTCGTTGGAATCAATCTTTTAAGCCTCATGAGCAAAGAAAGTGCCAAAAATGTAACTCGGGGGACATTGGCGATGAGATGCATTATCTGTTAATATGCCCTTTTTTCAGAACTAAAAGAAGACAGCTAATACCAGAGAGATTCTATATATAGACCAAATATATACTGAAATTTAAGGAACTACTTAACACAAATGATAGCCAGACCCTAACAAACCTTAGCTTATATGTTAAATATATCATGAAAAAAATTAACGATTAATAACAATTACATGAACTGATTTATTTTACATACCTGGATGTTAATGCTAATTATCCCCATCTTTATGTGTTTGTTTGTTTTTTTTTTGTTTTTTTGCTTTTTTTCTCATTGTCATTACAATTACACATTTATGAATAGACTGTCTCAATGCAATTTTACAACCGACAAATGAAACTTTACACCTGTTCTATTTATAGATATGTCACGGAAACCTCGTGCTGCAATGTTATTGTTATTGTTACGTTTTTTCCAGGTCAGCCCTGTTGTACATAGGCCAAAATTAAAAATTATTGGTTACTTCATTCATAAATGCTTGACTATTGTATTTTCACTGACTTTTTCCTTTTTTTTTATTGTTGTTAGCATATTAAAAACTCAAAACTTTGTTTTTTTTCACCGCTTTCAAATAAATACTTCAAATATTGTCCGCTTTCCCCATCAAATACAGAAACACTTAAACCCAAAACATAATTAATTAGAATATTTTTGACCATGTTGTTACCCATACTAATTATTTATGCTACTCTTCGTTCACATGTTATTGCTTGATACATGTTAAATGTGTATTATGTAATCTGTGACAATTGAAAATAAAGTGATTTGTATTGTATTGTATTTGTAAATTAACCAAATACCAAAAGAATGGAAACGTAAACTACGACAATGTTTTAAGGTAAATGATGATAATTCATTTTATCCATAAATTATTGAAAGCATGCCGTAATCATTTATTACATTACCTTTACAATTTCAAGTTAATTTAAATCAAATAGCCATGTATTTCACAATGAGAGACCGCCTCCGTGGTTGAGGGGTTAGAGTCGATGACTTCTAATCCAGTTACCTCTCTGGCGTGGGTTCGATCCCCAGGAGATGCTTTGGTAGTTTAGCGCGGAGGAAGGTTGTCAAGTACTTGTGTAACTCTCCAGGAACGATGGTTAGGAAACTACCCGCCTATATGAGTGATAAATGTATACTGTTGGGAAAAGGCGTAAAATGAAACAAACAAACAA